TTTTTTGCTTTTTATTAAAAAATAGTTAAAAAACACTTTTGGTTTCTGTACTTTGGCTAAAGTAACAATTTAGTCCTTGAACTTTAGTTTGTAACGAGAACCCTTGACGTGGGGACTCTCTCTTGGGGTCTTTGGCTTTACTCATTTAGGGCTTGCCATATTCGAACCCACCAATAAGCAGTGGGAGAGGCACCACCACCGCTTAATCCACGAAGCAGATAGGACGAAACCTGAGTGGATCTGCGGCAAAGCGGAGCCTCCGGGGGTATGGCGCCATGCATAAACTGCATCGGATAAGCTAGTACGAAAATAATGTATATAAATAGAGAACGGCACTACTAACCAAGCCAAGCCTAGTTCTCGCCGATAGGCGCTGGGATTTAGTCCCAGTACTTTTAGATTGGTAACAATTTAGTTCTTGAACTTTAATTTGTAACAATTTAGTACTTGTAATTTAAAGTTGATAACAATTTAGTATTTATCGTAAAATTTTTTTGTTAAATTTCTTATATATATAGGTTGACAAACTAAAAAGGGACCAAATATGTTTATAATTACAAAGATTAAATTGTTATACGATAAAAATTGACACTTAATTTTAATAAAATTTGTTACAATAGGGACTAAATTGTTACAAATTTTAAATGATAGGGACTAAATCGTTACAGGTTAAAATTCAAGGACTAAATTGTTACTTTAGTGAAAGTACATGGACTAAGTCGTTACAAACTAAAGTTCAGGGACTAAATTATTACTTTAGTGAAAGTATAAGGACCAAATGTGTTTTTTAACCTAACAAATAAATAAAATAAAATGATCCTACTTTACTGTTCTGATTTGCAAGAATTGGAAGTCTGCGTGATCATTGTTCCAATATATAGCAAGCAAAAGTCTTTCTTATCCCCTTTTTTTTCCCTCTCTAAATTAGGCACGGGGCAATAAATGTGACTATGTACAATTTTGGATCTCCTAGAGTCGGCAACCGGCAATTTGCACAAATTTATAATGAGGTACGAAGTTCCCTTGTTTGTTTCAGTCTTCTTTATTGCCTCTCCTGTAAAATAGAATATTCGTTTATTCACGTTGTTAGCTTCTCCGTCCCTATTTTCCTGGGTGGAACTCCGTGCATTTGGTATAAGAAGCAAATTTCGGCATTTTTTCTTCCACAATTTGAAATAGTTGATTGAATGACATGCAATGGACTCTCATGGCAATCTAGTTTGTAATGTTTGCATAGAGTGATGGACTTGATGTACATGGAATAAATGATTATATTCTCATATAATATTAAAAGTAAGAAATAATGGCCTTGTTATATAGGAGAAAGGCTCCATACAAAAATGGAAATAAGAATAAGAATAGGAATAAACTAAACCACTAAATGTCTTAATATTTACAAATAATAAACCAACAATTAGGAGTGCTTTTCTAGAGTTTATCCTTCTAGCTTCTGGTTTTTTAAGTAATACATGGTATGTTATCTCACTCGTTTAATTATAAAATACAATTGGCCTACAGTTAGGAGTGGCACTCCAACGGTAAAAAGAGGAGAAAAAGAAAGGTAATTATAGTCTAGTATGTACAGAAGGAAAGTTGCTGATATCATTTAAAATCTCATAACTAAGTTTTATCCAGATAAAAAAAGAAGAGAAAATTTCCAACAAATGAGTCCAATATTATCTCACAAGCATTTCAAAAACCTGTCTGAATGTGTACAACCAACCCAAAAAAAATAACAGAGCGAGAGAGAGAGAAAAAAAAAGATCTCATCCACATGATCCAATGCTTCAATTTGAATGTTTAATGAGAGTTTTCAGACGTCGGATGTGTTAGATATGAACATAGTCTGTCTGTCTTCATGTTTTACTTTTGGATGATTAAGTAAATCTTAGTTACTTTTTCTTTTCTTTT